TACATCGTGAAACCACCTGATGATTGCACAAATTAGTGAAGAATTGAAGACTAATTTGTGCAATCATCAGGTGGTTTCACGATGTAATGCTCTAAATTTTTTAAATAATTTTTAATCTGTTTTTAACTTGTTCTTGTCATATTTTATATAAGTTTGACTATTGTACAATCTATCCAGCTCTCACCATGTTACTGGACGTTTCCCTCATCCTATACGTAAACAACAATTAGCAACATCCTCACATACTACTCTCCTGATGATGATGGCAAAGTCCATTGAAAGCTAGAGAGAATTAAAAAAAGTATAAAGAGTCCTCTTTGCTTAAATCTTGTCGAAGTACCCAACAAAAGGCGGAAGCTTTAATTTTTCACCTATACCTGTATATATATATATATATACAGGGTGACTTTGAAGTTGAGTCATTAATTTTCAGATAATGATTGTAGAAGGAAGATAAACCAAAATATGTGTGTAAAAATAAACAAAAATTAAAAAAAATGTTTACCTTGTTTTATAAAGTATCCTCCCGACAAGTATTTCAGTGCGGACCTGTATTTGATCGTGAGGTCCCCTGTGAGGTCTTAAGTCACCTGATTCACGAGCCCGTTGTACTACATTAACAAAGGCACGAGGGGTTGGTTGCACTCGATTGGGAAACCGATTCGCATAAACATGTGCCATTTTTTATTTCGTTTGAGCCACGCAGACACTATTCACACGCGGTACCGACTGACACTGACTGTATGTATAACTGAACTGAATAAAATAATTGTAAAAACATCGTTCCAAATTCTTTCGCTTTTTTGTTTCCGATGCGATGAACCGATAAGGCGGATTATATCCGTTGTTGCCAAACACGAGCACATGATATTATTATTGAGACAGGGCGGTACTCAAACTTCCAAAGGGCTATAACTTTGTTACTTTAATTTTACCAGAAAAATGGTAAAGGAAAAAAACATTTCTTTTGATCAGATCTACTCACTGTTAAAATAAATGACTCAACTTCGAAGTCACCCTGTTATACACCTACATTATACAATATAAAAGAAAGGCACAACAGCCTTATGTTAAGCACATGTTTGTTATAAACGTTCGTCATTAACCTAAAATATGGATAAATAAATAAACTTTCAGAGGTTTTTCCATTCCATCACGTCAGCAGTGACTCCGCTATTCACAGTATTTCAGTGGGAGCGAGAAACTTTCTAACCATGGTTATGGTCACAAGGCGCCTTATGGTCACTAGACGCCTTATGGTCGAGCATTTCACTTGATCACCATAATTGATCCACTTCACAGCTGCTACACCAACAACGGCAACGTTCGAGTATGACGCTCCCCACGAAAATCACAAATGAAACGGGGGAGTTCGGAGCGCGTCACCGTCACTGCGCCTGTCGCATACTCCCGATCATTCACGGATGAAGAGCCGAACCTTGCCGAGTCCTCGATTTAAATAAATAGTTCAACTGTATCCATTTCTATATAAACTAAATTGCTAAACTAATTAAGCAGTTTAATAAGACAGGTACATGGTGTAGTGTATCACTTTCAATTAAAAACAGATTTCATAACTATTCGTCATTTGTTTGTCTGGGCGGTCCGTAGGACCTTTGCCCATTAGTCACTGTCTGATGTACGTTAGTCGAATCTGTCAGTCCTGGTTGCCCAGGAACCAACATATTTTATATAATTCAGTTTGAGTAAACCGAATAGCTTAGTTATTCAGAATAATTCAAAAATTTGTTACTGATAACGATAATCTTCCAGACTGTCTGTTTAATTGACCACGTTTTCTCAGTGCAGGAATTACTATATTTTGCTGGTTATTAGGATAGACTCCATAATATGAAGTTTGATATAGCATACTAAATTTTGTTATCGGTTATTCAGTTATACGCAGATTAGTGTATAAGCACGCTCAGTTTGACGGTCCGCCAATCCGCTATTTTGGAAGATATTTAACGTTATATTCTAGGGTTATAAGGTTCTCATAAGGAGATTCGAAATCACATGATTCCTAGTCACTAAAGCATACTATGATTATAGGTAATGACTGGTTAAGAGTACACTCGCCATGAAGAATATCGCTCTTTGTGTTTCTAAAATTAGTGCCGTATCTCTAGCAGTCTCCATCTTGTCATGATATTGGCAGTTTCCACACATACCTTATTAGAAAACGTTTATAATCTACTTTTACTTCAGCATAGTAGCATTATTAAAATTTATCCATGCTCTATTTCACGTTTCCTCCTCAAAAGGCCACTGTAATGACGCTACTATTTGCACAACGCTGGTGGGACAAAGGGCATTGTTCTATGCGGGGTTTTGCGAATAATTTTCAGCTCAAACGGAGAAACATTATAAAGTGCCACTGTTGCTGTTATCTGGCTAAGGATCTGTTATATTCGCCAGAGCTTTGCAAGAAACACCAACGTCGGTATTTCAAGCTCCAGAAGTGCTGCTCTTCTCTATCCTTTTCCCTGTTCGCTTAATTTCTTAACAATTTGGTTCCTGGGTTACCGGATCTAAAAGGTTCATAAAGTAATACTACTGCAGGAATGTAGTCCACATCTGCATGACCAAGTGTAAGAAGAATTCTGTATTCTGTGTATGAGTAGGGGCGACCAGACGACGTCACAGCACTTAGACCCCAGGGGCCACTCCAGACTGTTGAAAAAGGGGGTGATGAAACTAAGCGGAGTTTCCTCTACACGATCCGAAGAAGGTCAGCGTTCTCCCTGAATTAATGGATTACTGCGCGGTTGCAAAGGAAGTACTTGATTGTCTCATCTTCCTGTGCACAACATCTACATAAGGATATGACTCAATCTCACATTACAGAGCTGTTACCTCAGCTGACAGTGTACAGTGGAAATACCTGTTTCAGACCGCAGTTGTTGCCTGAACATACATAGGTATTATTTTACTACATCCTCACTACGATCGATGAAGAATTCCTTAGCGTTTTTGAAGATTTTGTGAGTGTTCTCTTTTGGCGTAGTTGTCAAGGTTCCAATGTGTAAAATACAGAGGGGCCTAGAATAATGATATCAGCAGACATTTTATGCCAGTTTATCAGCTATAATATTGTAAAAAACCTTTTACCCAGGCTACAGTTCACCCAGGAACAATTGAGAGTCAGTATTGCCTGTCTGTTATCCTCTTTCAGATCCTAATATTTTTGCTTGTAACAGTTCTGTGGGCAATTCTTTCCAGCTGAGGTTATGTCAGCTAATTGGGCCTACATTGCGCTGGCAACTTTATCCCTAAACCATTTACAATTCACACAGAAGCTTCTCGAACATACTACCAGCCCCAACATTCTTCTTAGATCCGACAAAAAGAAGATACTAGTGATATCTTCCTTCATCTGGTCTTCAGAAGCTGTGGAAATAGCATAGGTTCAATCAAAGATAAACTTTGGAGGAATACTCACCATTTCAGCCTGCATAAGTGGCATTCAGGGTGTTTCAGAACTAAGGGATCAAACTTCTAGGGGTTATTCAGTGTAACAGTAGAAAACATGTTGAGTATAGGGACCCATATCCGGAAAAGTGTCACTACGGCACTACGGCCCTAAGACGCATTAAAATTTAGAAAGACGATGAATTGCCTAAATAGGATGTAATGCATTTCATTTTTGCCTTTTGTACATGATATCATCAAAACAATTGTTCAAAATGTCTTCCTCCAACCTGAATACACCGATTTAAACGTCGCACATGATTTCGGCGGACTTGACTAAACATTTGATACTCATTTAAGTCTTGCTCTGTTTCTACTGGAGTTTCGTAAACCAAAGACTTTACATGTCCGCACAGGAAAAAATCTAGCCGCGTTAAGTCAGGTGACCTAGGAGGCCAAGAAACTGCTCCACCTCTATCAATCCAACGGTGCCCAAACCGCTGAGCCAAATACTCACGTACTTGTACAGCAAAGTGAGCCGGTGCTCCATCATGCTGAAACCACATTTACTGTCGAACGTTCAATGGAACATTTTCAAGAAGTTCTGTAAGAACTTCCTCGAAGAAACGCCGGTAAATAGGTCCTGTGAACCGTTCCGGTAGAAGGTATGGCCCAATCAAATAATCATCAACAGTGCCTGCCGATACGTTGGCAGACCAACGTTGCTGATGTTTTCTAGGAAAAATTGCATGGGGATTTTCTTTTTCCCAAACGTGGCTATTCATACTATTAAAAATACCATCTCTTGTGAAAGAGGCTTCATCAGTCCATAAAACATAGCGTGAAAAGTTTGGTTGTGCAGCGATTTGATGAAGAAGCCATTGACAAAATTTGAATTGATAATCGGCTGCAATCAATCCTTGAACTTTGTGTTCTGGAAGTAGTAAGGATAAAGTTGTTGCTCGTGTAGGACCCACCAGATGGAAGCGTTTCTCGTATTGATATCCTCAGCAATGTGACGTGTGCCATTTGGTGGTTCGTCAGCAACTCGCTGAAGGACCTCTGCTTCAAATTCGACCGTTCTTACGCTTCGAGCAACACCAGTATCATGCATGTTGGCTCTAAACATGCCTATCTCGGAGAGCCGCCGATGAATGGCAATAAACTTTTTGTATCCCGGATGCTGTTGTTCGGGATAACGTTCTTGATACAACCGCGCTGCTGGTGGTGCATTGCAGCTTGTTGCTGCGTATGCCAAATGCATATCCGTCAATTCTTGATTGGTTAAGTTTTAAATTAGCAACAATTAATTTTTGTTAAATTCTTGCATACTTCACAAATACGATAGCACGATTAAGGCGATATGGAATGTAGGTACAAAAAACAATCTCTGTTATCGTTTTTAAAGATAACAACACACAAGCGCCGGATATATGGGTCCCTATACTCAAATGTTTTCTACTGTTACACTAAATAACCCCTAGTTTGATCCCATAGTTCTGAAACACCCTGTATATGTAGTTGCCGTGTTCCACAGACGACTTCTAACTGTTCTTATCTGGCCGTATTCCAACTAATTTGAACTTCACCATTGTCGCCAGAGCCACTTGTTCTAGATAAATTCCTAATGGTTCAGCATCACTTCCATTGTTCTCGTTGGTGTTGTTCGCATAGCACCAGATGCTAAGACATGCAGTCGATGTAGCTGGCTTAGCTGTGCCTGTGTGGTTATCCCTTGAAATTTGGTGACCCAATCCACAGATCCATAGGTCACCATTAGTCTGATTATCGCAGTGGTTGTCCACATAGCAGCACTGGTTCTCAAACCCCACATTTTGCCGATAGTGCTTCGCCATTACCCATAACATATTTGTGCTTTCTTTAAACTTCTTTCTAGGTAAAGATTTCAATTTAGTTTCGCGTCCAAAGTAATCCCAAGGTACTTAACGTTCTCGGTCATAAAACTGAGGCCAGTTGAGTCAACGGTTTGGTAGGAAACAAGAAAACTGATAATCCAATGATTTCGGGCAAAGCTGATGAGGCCCGTATTCTTACTTTTGTAGTTAGTGAATTCAAAATTGATATTTTGGTGCATATAACACATGAATATAAAAATACAACAATATGAGGATTCATGTACTGTTTTTGAAATGACCTACACAAATACCCGCTGTCGAGTAGTGTGTGTGCAAAAACCACGTAAGTCCCAGACATACGATGTTTTTGCACTGAACGTATATTGCGTGATGTTATTTGAGGGGGAACAAGTCAAGTAACATACACGATATATCCCCAGAATACGCATCTACCTTTAATGAAGCATTTCCAGTAAGAAAAGCATGTTGGTAAAATGATGGATTCATTTGTATGTGGAATTATTCAAGAGACGTCTTGTGATGTCAGAATTACCTGGATAGGTTAGCGATGAATTATCGACTACAACGCCATCATTTCTTTGCAGCCAAACAGAACGTTGAAGTTTTCAGTAGCGAAAAACTTCCACAACTTCAAAAATTCCATGCTGTCGTTGAAATACGCCTTCTGTTGAAAAACATGCAACTCCCTGAGGTGATATTTCGGCCCTTTATCCTCGCGGTGTCATAAACTTTGCCATGTCAGTTTTTCCTTTACCATACCAGAGGCGTAGCAAGACCTAGCACTACAACAATTATGCGCTTGTGTGCAAGGGATTAGAGACGTTGGGATAAATAGTCAAAATGAAATTAAGTATATAGTTCTGATAGGACAAGTTTTCAGTTTACTGAAGAACTGGCTCCATTTGTGGGGATTTTGCGTTTTTACGCTATACGATATTATTACAATACATTATGCAGGGCAGTGCCGGACTATCGAATTTGTCGGATTATAGAGCACTGCCTAAGACCCACTATAGTCCGGAATTTTTTACAAAAGAGTACCTTGTAATCCGACAAATTACATATCCAATGGTAAGACTATATATGTTATGTATGTATATGTATGTACTTTAAAGTACAAATCATACATAGTTTATGTACGTCGAATTTAGTAAATTAAATAACAATAGAGAGCTTACGTTTTATTATAAAATTAAGCATAAATGCACATACATATGTACCAAAATAATCAACAATTATTAATCAAAATCATTAATGAATTTATCAAATTATGAAGCTTGGAAATATTCATTAATTTTTTTTTGTTTAAGGTTGTTATAACGCGAGATCAGAGCTTTGTCTCTCAGTCTTCTCAAAAGTAAAAGTTCGTTTTAGGATGTACCATTCTCTTCAGCCCATTGTAAACCTAGCTCAAATGCGTTAATTGGGTCTTGCGCTGTGACTTGTGGATCAGTTGCAATCATGTCATCGTTATTTTCCTGATTGTTTGTTGTATAATTAGAAACCTCTTTTATAATCTCTTCGTCAGACATTTCATGAAAAACATTTTCTTCTTTATCCATTCCACGGCACCAGATTTCCAAATCTTCCGGACTTATCAGTGTTTCAGTAGCGACTTATTCTATAACTTCCGAAGTAACACTGATTTGTGGAACGTTGCTAGGAGTGGTGACTATATCTGGCCATAACCAAGTCTTTCATATTAAATTCTTTTAAAGTTTTTTCTATTAGTTGGTCTTTTGATACGGCTCTCAGAAGTAGGTTTTTCTTATAGTCTTGCTTGACAAACTGAATGATATTCTGGTCCATTGGTTGAATCAGTGCAGTGTAATTTGGCGGAAGAAACATCGCAGTGATGCATTTATCCTCAGTTGTTAGTTCTTCTTCAGACGGATGATCGGGAGCGTTATCAAGAAGCAACAACGCTTTTTGAGGAAAATTATGATCTTTTAACCATTTTCTAACTTCAGGTACGAAGCATTCATCAAACCACTTTTTTGTCATCCATGTATTTTTTTGTCCATAATAGTGTACAGGTAAATCAATGTTTTTGAATGCCCGTGGTTTATTGGATTTCCCAATGACCATCATCTTAAGCGCGTGTGTGCCCGCAGCGTTAGCACATGGTAATATGGTTACACGCTCTTTACTTACTTTTCGTCCAGGTACGGATTTTTCGTTAGAAGAAAAAGATGTTTTGTTAGGCATCACACGCCAAAAATGCCCTGATTCGTCTGCATTGTACACCTGTGACGGGACAAGATTTAAATCGTTCACCTTTTGCAAAAATGTTAATTTCAAGGGCTCTATGCAGGTGGCATCGTTAGAAAGTTTCTCTCTTGTAATAGTCATTAATCGTATGCCATGACGACTTTTAAAACATTCTAGCCATCCTTTGCTGGCCGCAAAATCATGTTTTTTTATTATTTCCTTATAAAAAAAATTAGCTTTCATGGCCAACATGGTTCCTGAAATTGGTGCATGCCTATTTCTTTCCTGAAGAAACCACATGTACAAAGCTTCATCCACTTCTGGATGTTCAGCTTTCTTGAGTGTCTGTCTCTTGCCTGGCCCACAGTCAGTAGTTGATACGAACTTCTTGATCTTCTCGTGGTTTCTTTTGTCATAAATTGTAGATCGGCCTACGCCGTATTCACTTGCTAAACTACTGAAAGTTTCATTGCGATTTAAACGATCTAAAATATCACATTTTTGTTTAATTGTCAATGTTTTGTGCTTTCACTTCTGAGTTTGTGATGACATTACTAGGTACTATACTTAATACACAATGAATAAATAGTAAACAATGAACGCACGCTAGACCGTACCGCTATGACCAGTACTCAAATTCAAACTAAGTAAAACAATGCTTACGCGTCGAGCACGATAGCGGTGGCGCATACTAGTTGGAACCTGTTCAAACCTGCGTGATCTACATTAGCGAAGATTGTCAAATACGTATGTATATGTAATACATATTCAAAGACATGTCGGATTACAGGGGGCGCCGGATTAGATAGAGGCCGGATTATCGGGGGTCCACTGTATTATCTTAATTTTTCGGGTGTAGTGAGTGAATACCTGTATGAAATTTCATATTTTACTGCAAAAAGTCATTGCTATTGCTCTATCAGTGGTGTCCCTACAAACAGGTCTTGTGATCACAAGCAAAAGATAGATCACTACTGGTATTTTTCAAAATGAAAATTTTCTTCTACTATTTTTTCTTAAGATGCACCGGTTTTTTTAATTAAATGCACAAAATGCTAACCAGAAAAACTATGATTTTTCTGGTGTCAAAAAAAGACTTGAAGGTATTAGCAGACATCTAAGGTTTTTCAAGGAGTCTGGGCGGATGGTATCAAAAATATTTTTCTCAGCCCGTTTTCTACCTCCGTACCTCCTGTGTGAAAATTCATACCTTGCGGCAGTTATACAGTGGTACGGAAGTTCGAGAAGCTTTGTAGTCAAGGATTTTCATTCCCTAAGCGTGAGAACTCAGTTGTACTTATTCACTCTATAAGAGGTTTAGCTCCAGATAATTGTCCCTCTTTTAATGTTGTCATGGTCCGTCGTTGTCTACTGCCCTGGAAGGCATGCAAACAAACACCCAGTGTGGTCGAAGCCATCTCCTATTTTTCAGTTAAATTTTCCGAGAAATGGAACCGCTGATAAAACATAAAGTGCTCTTTGTCCCGAAACTTCGACGGCTTTTCCGAGTAATGTTTTTGCATTGTACGGAGCGGATGAATCGATAACACTATAGAACAGAGTAGAATTGAGGTTGTGGCTAAGTTTTGAGATCGTTTTATCCGCTGATTGAAGTTTTAAAAAGTGAAAAAATGGAACATTACATGCCTGGGTTGGGAAGTGTGTCACACGTTTGGTCGAGCAGTTTTATAATATTGGTTTGTATATACGAGGTCTGTAAGTTGAGTGATTTAAATTTTCTTATTCAAATGTAATTACAATTTTATATTATAACCCTCAAAATAATTTCCTCCTGAAATCACTCAGCGCTGGAGACGCTTCTTCCACTCCTCATAGCAGTGCTGGAACCCGATACTGGAATAGCCTTCAGCTTGTCGGTCACAGCCGTTTGAATGCATTCAGCTGTCCCGAAATTAGCTCCATTTGACGCCACAAGAATGTTTTTACTGACCAAAAACTCATTTATTGACATTGCTGTATGACAAGGAGCACCCAGTTGTTCTTGATCTGATGAACGATGGTTTGTGTCAAATATAACTATTCCCCGACCGTTCTGACTGTCAACCGACGTTCTGAGCGCACAAAATTCCAGATTATGTTGATATTTTTATCGGTTCTTGGCTCATCTTCAATCGACTCTCTCCCTGCTGAGAATGCCTTAAGCCACCGAGAAGCCTGGGCTCTCCGCAGACCCGCTGAAGTTTAGCAAAAGTTTCCGTTGCACTTTGCCCATGTCTGTAGCAAAACCTGATACCACACCATTGCTAGAAATTGATGTCACCCATTTTTAGAGCACAGTAGGAGAAACTGTTTCACAAAACGGACCACCAAATCATTCGAGTGAGTTCAAACTTGTACTAAAGGCGGATCACAAGTTCGCCGGTCTCCCCTCCAAGTCCTACGCCTCCTGTGTTGCCAGATCGAACGCTACGTTGCCAGTTCCATCGCTTATTTTACAGACAATAGTCTTCTCAAGCTATGTATTTTTTCAATCACTTTATATCACTATACCGGATATTATTAGATTTCGATCTTATCTTCATTTATTATCGCTATTGTAGTCGGTCTGTGGGCACTGTATTTTAATAATGTCAGGAATAAAGACACTTCACTAAATGATTGAACTCAAACTTTATTAACCACCATAAGCGAATAAACATGACTGGAACTTACTTCCATCTTCTTCCCCTGTCGAAAGTCAACGATCAAACGTCAGTGACCGTGTCATCCTTGTCAACAGAAGCGCGCGAATTTAAAATTTGAAATTTTTATTACTACACTATATTTATCCTAACCAAACA